ATGAGGAGAGGCTGAGGGAACTGGGATTATTTAGTCTGCAGAAGAGAAGAATGAGGGGGGATTTGATAGCAGCCTTCAACTACCTGAAGGGGGGCTCCAAAGAGGATGGAGCTCGGCTGTTCTCAGTGGTACCAGATGACAGAACAAGGAGCAATGGTCTCAAGTTGCAGTGGGGGAGGTCCAGGTTGGATATCAGGAAAAACTATTTCACTAGGAGGGTGTTGAAACACTGGAATGCGTTACCTAGGGAAGTGGTGGAGTCTCCTTCCTTGGAGGTTTTTAAGGCCCGGCTTGACAAAGCCCTGGCTGGGATGATTTAGCTGGGAATTGGTCCTGCTTTGAGCAGGGGGTTGGACTAGATGACCTCTTGAGGTCCCTTCCAACTCTGATATTCTATGATTCTACCCACTTCAGCCTCAAATGGTTCTGCCTCCAAGCAGCAGATTTGAAGGAGTGTGATAGCATGCTATGCTAGACCTGATTAAGACCAGTCTTTTGTTTCCTTCCTTCCTTCAAGGATAATTTTGTTCCAATCTTTGTCAGCAATGATATTTCTAATTTCTTTGTCACAGTAATATCAGGAGTGTCTTGTAACGATGTGAGGAAATTCAGTAGATCAATTAGATGGAAGTGTGATTTTGAAGCTGATGGGTAGCTTCTTAACTTCATTCAAGGTGGTAAAAATGTTCAGTATCACTTTTATTAATACAGCAGCTGAAAAGATTTTTGAAACTGGAGGATAATCGCATTAGTAACCTGGGATAAATTAAAAGTCCACTTAGAAGTTATTTGCATATTGACACAGAAGCCGATTAAATGTGCCCCTCTCAGCCATTCATTAGACTGCTGTGAAGGGATCCAAAACCAGGGCCCCAGGTACTTCAAGCCTCTGGAGCCTAAATGGAGCCCAGCCATGCCCCAGTGTGTGGGGTCCTTAAGCACATTCTCAGAGCACAGAACCTCTGTCTGGACCCCCTCCTGAGAGCTGGAACCCATTGTCTAGCTGCCTATCCCCCTGAATGAATAGTGGCCCATCAGATTCTCCTGAAATTTAAACACACCCTCTCCCAGAATCCCACCAAAGATTTTGAGCCTTCTGGGTTGGGTTGTGTTTACTCTGTCAGGAGCCCTGTTGTAGGTGCAGTTTCCTCACCATCCCAGGGCATCATTTGAGTAGGGTTCAGAAATATCAAATCCATCTGCTGTAGGACATGGCTTGGGTTCCTGAAACACGAATACTTATTTCCTGATCTCGCCTCCTGTGACCTTGGTCCAACTGTTCTTTTTTTCCTCCTGCTCCAAATTCCTGTGTGTTTCAAAGCAACGTCATTAACATTAAATATTCCCCATTGTCCCTGGTCTGGAGAAGACATGGCACAATCTTGCCAGTTCATGGTGGATACACATACAGAGGCATTCCTTGATACAGCAATTTGGTGATACATTTCATAATATCATTTCATAAGGTATATAGACAGAACTCCAAAATCATCACATCTGCCAATAGCAGAGTGAAGGATTCTAGCTTTCCCTACAAGAAAAGACTGCTTCAGTTATAGATGGAGCTGGTAACTGGTGTCTATAGTTAAGATTGCCTAACAGTGTCCATTGTAAATCCCTGTTATAAATTGCTTATAACTTAAACTGTTTAGGCTGTAACTTTCAGCCTGAATCTTGTCTGCCTCTACCTGAATCTTTTTTTTCCGAAAGTTTCAGCTAAAACTGTTCAGCTCTTTGAGAGAGAATTTAGAGAAGAGTACATTTGTCCAAGTTTAAAGAAAAATCTTACAACCATTTGATTCAAAAGCTCTTAAACATCCATACTTTTGTAGCAGGGACTTGAAATTTGTTGGGGGTGGAGCTCAAGCGAGGGACATCATTTGTCCTCCTTGCAAATTCCATCCAAAGTTATCCAAGTTATAAGCCTCTGAAAAATCAGTTTGTACGTGCTTAATAGAGGTTTATAAGACTTTGGCAGTATTGTGTTCTGAAGATTGTCTGCGAAGAACTTACTCCATACTCACATAGCTCCTACTAGGTGGAGTCATATAATGGAAGATTGAATGTAGTATTGTGTAACTAAAGACTATATAATATTGTTACTATACACAAAGGACTCGAGTTAGGGTTACATGGGCAACCTTAATGCTAGGATTTCTTAACTTTTGAGTGCTTGACTTTGAAACCTTTTAACATAGTTTTATTTATAATAATTTTCTGGTGTTTTTTCAACTCTAACTTTACAATCATTCAGCAGCTAATCCATGCAACATTTACAGAAGATAAATTTATTATCCTCATTTTACAAGAGGCCATACAACAAATCAATGTAATTTAGGATAGAATTCAGGAATTCCTGGCTCTAAGTCGCGTGGAAGGGTCAGCTGAACTTTTTCTGTATAAATGATCTGCACGCACTCACTCCATGCATTACTTTCATAAGACCTGATTGTGCAAACATAACTGAGTGTAGTGCTTGCTACACTGTGTAAATCAAGTCCTAAGAATCACATTGTCGCAATGATTTACACACACTGTTTATTTTAAGCACTGTGAGCTGACTTGTCAGTCAGTAGAACTACGTGGTGTGTAAATTGAAGTGTATATGTAAGTCTTTACAGGATTGGGACTGTAAGCTCTTTAGGACAAGGACTTTGCTGACTTTCTTTATAGGACTGAGCACAGTATCAGTGTTTAACAATTAAATATTTTAGCTGTTAGTGATATAATTTCTATGGATGATGGTTTTATGCCTTGACAGGTGAAGAAAATAAATTTGTTTATGTACTGTGACAAAGTTCCTCCTCCTATCTTGGTGGGTCCTGCGCTTATTGGCAGATTTTCTTGCCTCAGAGATTCACCATGTGGGTTGGGGAACAGCCCAGAGACCTT